TGTTATTGATAAATGAGACTATACATTGCTTATAAACAGGATATTAACTCTGTTAATTGTGACTTATGTGGCACCCATGTCAGCAGCATTCTAGATTTATGCGGCAACTAATTAAAAAAATAAAATAACAAAATGGAAAAAAAAATAAAAAAGGGGGGGGAGTGGGAAACATAAATGGTCCAAGAAGCGACCAAGCAAAGAAAGAAGCCAAAGGAAAAAAAAGAAGTAGAACCACAGTGACAGCAACGGAATGGGAAGGAGAGATCATGAATCGCTTGCTTCGGCGACAACAAAAATGATAGACTGACGGAGTGGCCGGGAGGAACCCCTCCCTTCGCTTCACGCCCAGGAATCAACCTCTCTCCCCTCCTTTACCATCCTTCCTTTAACGGACTCTAGGCTGCGTCGTTAGTTTTATCCTCGCACGCTGCTTCTTTTCCCACAGTTTTATCCACAGAAACGCACGTCTTTTAAAATCTCGTTAATTAATGGCGTAAATAATTATCGTCGACTTGTTATAGGCATTTGGCGAGTTAAAAATCTGTATGCAGCTCGGGAGGCATCAATTAAATGAAGATCAGCAAATTGAGTAGACGAAGTAACGAGCATTTCACAATTGCATGATGATATGTGCTCCGTTCTGTGTTTTCTTTCGTCGCTGTGTGCTCAAGCTAGAAGAATTAGGCAATCATTAAAAAGGAATTATGTACACGAAGAGCGGTAATTCAAAGAAATTAAATGGAATGAATGGCCTTAATCACACCAACCTTGAGCACAACATCGTGAACTCGGTTTGGACTCGGGACCGGGCCGGCCGATACGAAAAATGACACTGTTTGTAATTATCTCTATAAGAATATAATTTTTTTTTAAATGTAACCAGCGGCGTTTTAAATTTATAATTTGTGATAATCTGAATTTAAAATTAATAACAATCGACACTATCACACTGTTTACTTTTATCTTAAAATTTAACTTAATTCAACTTTGAATTCAATATAAATTTTACTTAATATAGTTTGATAAATGCTAATGTAAAGTATAATTTTTTTCATTATCATGTTTGTACATTTGTAAAATGTCACATATTTAATATAATTATGTATGATATAAATGTTTACAAAATGATAAATGATAATCTAATGTAATTGTCTAGCATGCAAAAGGAAAGAATCCACATCAAAATGTTTGTCAGTAAAAATCCGTTGGTTCCTAGCTTCCCATAACTTCCGGCATATAATGCTGATGTCCACTTTCCAAGAAAGAACCGTGTTAAGAAGCCATGTGTCAATCTCACCCTTGCACGATTCACCGTACATGTCCGTGGGTAGGATCTTCTTCCATACCGCTGCGGCGAAGGAGCAATTCTTGAAAACATTATTATAACTATAATTTGATTACATTATAACTGATCTGTGGCGCAAAAAACATGACAATCCAAAAGTTTCCCTCCTCAATTTTTCCCCCCTACTCTCACACACCCTATACACTTTCCTGCAAGAAATCCCCGTACTCACACACTCACACCTCCTCTGGAACCTGCGATCTCTCCCATCCAAAGCCCAAAGGGACCTTGGTTTCCACTAGGCCGATGGGCTTTTTGGTGTTTTTCTCCTCAAATTAAACCAATTCATTTTCATTTTTCGATGATCCTTCTAACGCGCCACCCCCGTCCCTCTTGCACCTCCCAACCGTGACCTGCAGCAGGGCTTGTCATATTCGTTGCCTGCTTACGTTTCTGTCACCATCACCGCTGCCATTGGTTTAAGTTTTTACAGAAAAACGTGCAAAGAGCTAATGATCAGGTCATGTATAAAATTATAATGTTTTTTATAGCTTGGGGCGGGATGTCGAAGATCATCACATCTAAATTATCACTTGAAGTCTTGGAACTTTTTTTTCTATGTTTGCTACTGCCTTTTATTTGCTCCTCCATCGCCAATTATGATGGAAAAGGGTCATTTGCGAGGTAAAAACAAAAAAAATATTTCTTAGTCATCCGTGTATTCTAGGAATTGCGGGTTGTGGGCAAACAAATTGCTCAATCTTTATAATAGTCTCTTGGTTATGAATTTCTCTGGTGATTTCTGAGGGGATTTAAGATCATTTGGAGAACTAGCTTTCTAAATCGTTATCATTCATCTGCGCTGCAGCATAATATTCTTTATTTTAATGTTACTTTGTTAGCTTCTCATACGACGTTTCCCATCTTGGTCCTCTCATTGAGGATTTGTACCCAATTTTGCTGATCTATGCTTGTATTATCTGCTCTTACGTTTTATAATCTTATTTAGTATTTGTAATTTAAGGATAATCACCTTGATATGGATGCTGTCAGTCTGTAGAATTTACTGGATATGTGCAAAGCTAATGATAGTCTAGTAGTCGCAACATTTATTTCTAGAAATCAGTAAGCAAGATTTTTCTATGCAAGCTTGCATTCAGCATTTACAACCTACTAGTGGATTTTTGTTTAGAACTTGTATTCACCATAAGTTTCAAGCATTTGCAAACATGTATTATGAAGCTGTTAGTTGATTTTTAAAATTCTAAGAATTAGTTTCAAGCATTTTCAAGAAGGAAAATAGTATTCTGTATTCTCTTATCATCCTTCATTTAATTTCTTTCTACCCATTTATCCTTCCCTCAACGCGGTAGTGGTTCAATTTCTTATTATAGTTTTTGCGCTGCCAAGATTGTCCATGCAAGTAAACAGTGAACTGAAAAAATTGGGTCAATATGGTGCAATTGGGAGAAGATTAACGCCTTTGTAATTATATATATTAACTATATAATTATGATTCTATTTATATATTTTTGGACGAAAATAAGAAATTATAGTTATATATTATTATAGTGTATTATAGTTATAATTTAACTCACATTATGTTTTTATTAGTATTTTTTAAACTTCACATGCATATTTTATTGACTATTTATGAAAAAAATTATAAAATAATGATATAGTTGTCTCTGTATAATTATTTTCTCTTACCTCTCTTCTTGAATCAAATAAAATAATATTCCCTCCATATCAAATCCACATCAAATTATAAAACAATTTAAACAAGATTATGCTTATCAATAAAACACAAACACTTTACCAAACTTACTTTTTCAAAATAAATTAAAAATGTCCCTATCCAATTAATCAATATGCTACAATGTCATTTTAATTCTTTTTTACTTAAAAATAATATTAAAAAATTATTGTTAAAAAACCTTAATTTTTTATATTTCTTTAAAGTTATCTTATAAGAAAGTACTCCCTCCATTAAAAAAATGTAAAGTATTTTTAACTGAATATCACCTCCAATAAAGTAATTACCTACTTTTTAACTTATAATATCTTTTTATATTTACCTCTATTGAACATCTTATAATAAATATAAAGTTACTGTTAATGGGGACACTTTTGAAAAAAAAGCAATAATTACACCTCAAAAAACTAAAAATACCTTATATTTTTTAACACCTAACTTCTTAAAAAATGCCTTATATTTTTTAACGGATGAAGTATTAAATATTAAAATTTCCCCAACCAAACAAGTGTTGGGGTATAAATTATTAATTAATAAAATAAATTTTATTATTTGGGAGTTGGGAAGCTTTTTTACTAATATACTATAAATAATAAAAAATTATCTAAATATTGCACCGTAAAAAATATTTATCAAAATACTACACTGAAAATTATTTAGATTGAGGACCATTTTGTAGTTGTAGAGAAATCAAATACAATTTGCTAGTCAGATATTATTATTTTTTATTCAATGAAAAGTAAAATCATTTAAGTCAAGAATGATTTCAGTTTTTTTCATTGACATAACATAATATTCATTGTTAATTATAATAATCTCTTGCTTTCCCTCGCTATTATCATCACCCTTTTTCATCTCTCTTAAATCTACTCAATTCGAGTCTTATTACATGCAACCCGCATTATCATTCATTTTTAACTCATCCACTCCTATTCATTTTGGATTGTTCATGCATTTACTTGATGATCATGTACTATTTTTGATTGAATACAATACTTTTACTTTTGAAAATGGTGGATCGTCGAATGAAGCATATGTTACCCCTCAACGGTCAATTTCATTAATTAAATTACCTTGGTTTGATTTAAATAGGTTGATTGCACAAATAAATAAAATACTTAAATTTCAAGAAAATGAGAAGATACAACAACAATAACAGCCACAATGTGTGAGAAGGAAAACAAGATGTGGTGCCAAGGGTCATTATTTGTGAGGTAAATTAATTTTCACTTTTCATTCATATAACTTAATCATTTATTATTAATTTATTAAATTAAAAACTATCAATAATAAATAAATAATTATTACCTAATAATTATTTATTAGGTAATAATGACTTTCGGCACCACATCTTGTTCTCCTTCTCACACATTGTAGCTGTTATTGTTGTTGTATCTTTCCATCTTCTTGAAATTTAAGTGTTTTCATTTATTTGTGTAGCTAGTGTATTTAAATTAAATTAAGGTGATTCAATTAAAAAAATTGACTTCATTTGATAGTCCATCATGTTCAAGAGGAAAAATGTTGTATTTAGTAATAATGCGAGATTATCAAGTAAAGGCATGAACAAACAAAAATGATTAGGAGTGAATGAGTTGAAAAAGGACAATAATGAAAGTAACATGTCATAAGACTTGAATTGAGTAAGTTTGAGATCAATAAAAAAGAATGATAATAATAATAAAAAAAAGAAAGGAATTATTGTGATTGACAACAAATATCATGTCATATCAATAAAAAAATTAAAATCATTCTTGATTTAAATAATTTTATTTTTTTATTAAATAAAAAAATAATCTCTGACTAAAAAATTATTTCTGTTAGAATGATTTCTTCACAGCTATGACATTGTTCTGAATCCGAACAATTTTCAATGTGATATTTTGGTAAATACCTTGGTGCAGCATTTAAGAAATTTTTTTATTATTTATAGTGTATTGGTAAAAAAAACCGAGCTGGGACTTTGGGTATCCTGCCATTTTTCTGCGCCGACGAACAGCATTCCATGCTTGGTTGAGTTCGCCGTTGGACGCGTTCCGCCTCTGTCAGCCCTGCCGGGTTGTTATCGGGCAAGTAGTGAAAGGTTCGAACCTAGGGCTTTACCTACCCCCAAAATCCGGTGAGATTGATTTCATAATCTGGCTTTCAGTCTAGATTTGAATTTATTCCCCGCGTCATCTGTTCCTCGCGTTGTTGTCAACCATGTGCCGGACGCTGTCGCACTGTTTCTTACTTTGTTTTAAATTTTTCATTTAAATTTGGCTTTGAATCTGGTCGTGTAATCGTGTGAATACTGACGCTTTTGAATAAAGATTGAGTTTGCCTGAAAAACACTTCTATTATTATTTACTAGCATCTACTACAGTGGAGTGTAATCGGGTATTACACTTCTGCCTTCTTCATTTGATGACTAGCGACTTTTGCTTTCCATTGTTTTTCTGTGCATTGTTGGATTTGTTTTGTATCGGCATTCTGTTTGCTAATCTCTATATTACCATCCGTCTTCGTCAAAGTATCAACAACAAAAATTAAAAGGATATTATATCAACTATTCATGTTTCAAATATTTTAGTGGGGGCCAGTAATATAGGTGCGCCTTTGTTAGGTGCTTATTTGTTTCCCATTAAAGCATACACTGACCAGCTAGCTCTTCTTTCTTTTGGTTACGACAGCCTCTTAAAGTAACTACACTAAACAAACATGGGGGAGAATATTTATTCCTTAATTGAAGATGCTTCTTTATTTTATCATTAATAAATTAGCAGTTCCTGTACCATAGTTTTATCAACAAAACATCACTATGTGTGATACATGATCACATTAATCAATAAGTAGCTAATATAGTCTGGTAATAGGTGTTCACTTATTTTTTGAATTTGATAGTGTTCAAACAAAAGATCTTACCATCTGGCCTTGCCTTTGTCAGTTAGGATCTGCTTAATTTATTCAACACGTCTTGGATGGAGGTTGTTTTGGCAGCATCTTCTGTTGATGCTGGTATTGGCTGATGGTACCTTCAGTCAGGGGCTGAGCAGCTTCGCTATAAAACTTGTGCTTCTGCACCTCATGGCCTCATTAGGTTGGGAAGATATGAATTAAAAACGAAAACTTATTTTCTGTTGCTTTTTTACTTTAGTGACATTGGGTTTTGTTTTTCAGGTTGAAACTGGCAAATTGCTTAAGAAGTGGCATGCTCATTATAGGGCTTTAACTTGTGTAGTATTTTCTGAGGATGACTCACTGCTGATATCTGGTTCAGAAGATGGATGCGTACGAGTTTGGTCCTTGTTCATGTTCTTGATTCTCATCTTTCCCCTTCCCCTTCTCCATTGTTGCAATTTTTAGGAGTAATGTTGTCACATATATCACTCTCTTAATTTGATGATTCAGGATATTGGACGATTCAAAAGGCAGAAAACAGGTCATCTTTATGAGTATAGATTTTTCAGAGCACACCTTACCAGTAACTGACATTGTAATTGGTTATGGAGGATGCGATGCAATTATAATTTCTGCTGCAGAGGATAGGACCTGTAAGGTTTGGTTTGCATTTCTTTTGGTTTATGGGTTTCTTTTCTATAGTATCATGTTAGTTAAGTTATAAGATGCGGCGAACTAGGAAAAATGTGTTTTTTGCAGCTTGAATGACCAAGATCCTCTTCTTTTAAAAATCTTATTTTGTATTTCTTGAAGTTTTACATGCTCGAAAGTTATAATTCATAATCTTCATGTGCCAAAGCAAGAAACAATTCATAAAATAGGGTGATTGGTTCTGAAAGCTCATGAAATAATCCTTTACTGTCTTTCAAATTAAAAGTAATGACTAATGAGCGTCAATTTATTACTCATTGAAAGTGAAAGGCGTCTATTAATAAATACTAAGGAAATGTTTGCCATAAATATAATGTTTTCTCCATAGTAGAAATGTGAAGAATCCTAACTGCACAACTAATTTTAAGAGTTTTGTTTTTTAACAATAAAATATAGGTCTGTTCTACGTTTCGACATTTTTGTTTTTTCCTTTCAAGAGGGGTTGGTGTTTAATATTGTTGAAAGAGTTACCTGGTGTAGACTACACTTTGAATGGACTCTAATTTTCTCTGTTATATTTTTTGTCCATTATTCTCTATATTTAACAAAGTTGACATTGGTGCTATTTGTATGTAAATAGTATGGTTATTTCTTACAATGTATATTTATATTTTTTGCTTTCTTTGTTGTTTGGTGTTTTCTTGCATTAATTGGCTGTGACTTCTTGGCATCTGTATTTTTCTCTTAAATATAGTTTTCTAATGTAGCACTGCCGTCAGTTTTGACTCTTGTCATAATATTGTTTTTAAGGTTTGGAGCTTTTCTAGAGGAACACTACTGAGAAATATAGTATTCCCTTCAATAATTGATGCAATTGCATCGGATCCTGCTGAACATGTCTTTTATGCCGGCAGTAGAGATGGAAAAATATTTATTGCCGGTCTTATCACTGAAAGGATCTTCAGTCAGAATCATGACATGTATATCATCGGTTCATTCTCCATTCACATGTTAGTTCTACTCTACATGTTATGAAGCATAGGCCTCTCTATTGGCTGTTTATTAGTAGTTTCCCCTTCATGCTCTCAATCATTCAAGTTTACCTTAGTTCTGGGCTTTTGGCAGTTCATGCTCTCTTCAAGTTTACCTCATTCGCACACATCCTTCATGGTTGGGTTGAAATTTAGATTTTTCCTTAGGTTGGTCATCAAATTCCTAGGAGGAAAGAGCACCTTCTTTAAGCCAATTTGACGATTTAGTTGCCACGGTGATGCACTCTTCTCCATTGAAAACATTGTGTATGGGCTTCTGACAGTGGATTTGTGGTTTTACTTTTTCACCAGCGGACGACATATGTGCTGTTGTTCAACATGAGTGGCTTATCTTAGAAATATAGAAAAAGAAAACCCAATAAACTTAATGGTGATCCCCCTTTGACATGTTTTCTTTATAAAAGCTAATTTTGATATTAAATTTTGTTATCTTGAATTCCTGATCATGGATTCTATTTGTGAAATGTTAGTAATGTTAACAAAACTAGTCTTGCTCCTTAACTTTTTTTTTTCCGTTCAAATAATTAATTACATGGTATCATAGCCTTTATAATCTATGAAATTAGAAGCTTGATCTTTGCTGTTCCGGTTATCATTGCATTGACATTTCTGTGGAGATATCGGGATGGCTGCTTTGAATTTTGTGTGCAAATTTTGGTCTTTGCTTTGTCCTTGAGCCCAAAGGCTTACGCACGGTGTATTACAGATATAAATAAAATCATTCCTGGATCAGATAAGTTAACTTGCCTTTTCCCCCTCCCTCAACAGCAAAGCAGTTACTTGCTTAACATATAGTGCAAGTGGGAATTTGTTAATCTCTGGATCAGAAGATGGAACGATTCGGGTTTGGAATGCAAGAACTCATAATATTGTCTGCACGTTGAAACATGAAAAGGTTCCATCCTGACTCTTTCAGATTTATGTTCGATACCGGTTACTCATGATGTGATATTTTCTGTTGTCTATTATAAACTGTTATATACAGAATAGGATTATGACTTTATCGATGTGCAATGTTCAACCTATCACATTCTGTACTAGAACTTAATGATAACTCTAAATCTTAATATATCTAAAGCAAAAGAGCATATATGACATTTTGCACTGTGCGTAAGTCAGCTAATAGGCATGGTGCCAAATTGCTCTGCCTATCTTAGTTGGATTTACACCATTTATGTTATAGAGCTAGCTAGATCCTATCTATATGTGCGCAATTGCAAAAGCAAAATGCATACCATCTTTGATTTTTTTTTTTTTAACCAATGTGACATGGCCTTGGCCATCTTAATGTTGTATTAATGTTAATCTGCTGGGAATATTGCAGCACCTGTAAATAATATTCTTCTTGTAAGAAAACAGCTTGAGTCAAGTAAGCGTATGCCTTCAACTCTACAATTATGCTCAAGGAGGCAGGGATCTTTGATCCCTCCTCCATTGGAAAAAGACTCAAATTCAACGAATGAATGTTCAGATGTTAAGACCATTGTTAGCCTTCACGATAGCAAGAGTGGCATGGATGTTTCATACATGTCTTCTCAAGCGATAGCATCGTCATTTTGCAATGTTGTTTTTAGTAAAATAGATGTTATCTAATTTTCTAAGTATGGTAAACCTGCTTTTAACCTTCTAAACCAGAATCAGGGCTCCTCTGCTTTCTGAAATGGAGATGGAGAGACTGAAAGTGGATTGCAAAAGGTCTACCCAAGTGGTTAGCCGATTCAAGAAAATGTATGAAGATTTGCAAGAGTTCTATGAAGGTGACTTCTTAAAAAGTGGTCAAACAAAAACTTGAGATGAAACTAGCAACTAGGTCGCTTCATGCTTTTATTTACTCTTTAAAAGTAGAAATTGTAAGCCAAAGGTGATTTATCTAGCGAGTTATTATTGGCAATTTTGCTTCTTCTTGACTTGAGATGGACCATTAAATGTTACATGTAAATGGTGAGTTGTTGGTCTACTTAAATTGTAAAGCACATATGTGCTACTGTAGATGAACAGTTTTTTTTAAGTGTTTTCACTTGTTTGTCCTTGGTAAGTGACAACCATATAAATGATTTTAAAAAAATAAAAATTAAAAATTAAGAAAAAGTAAAAGAAAGGAATAAAAACATGAGTGAATGATAGAGAAGTCTTAAAAAGATTAATTAATTTAAGTTAGGTTTCATGTGTTAAGTTTTAGGAATTTGGAAGTTAATTTCTCAATTTTATAATTTCATTGTAATGAATTTACAATTTGCATTTTGAATTTTTTTGTGAAAAATAAATTTTTTTTATTCATCAATTATGTTAAAATTTAAATTTTAAATTGTAAATTTATTATAATGTAATTGTAAAATTGAGAGATGGATTTGTAAATTTTTAATGTTTGATATTTTAAATTTAATTTGAATTAATTAATCTTTTTAAAATTTATATATCATTCTCCCTAAAAACAAATCATAGTCAAAAAATTAAATTAGATAAATCAATATCAAATCAAAATTAGATAAAAAAATAGATCAACCAAATCAAAGTACAACCCGGAAGCAAAGGAAAACAAAAGGAATGGGTAACATATTTTAAACTTAACAGCAAGTATTTTTACAAAAATTAGACTAAAAATGATTTAAAAAGAAAAAATAAATGTAAATTCAAATGAGAATCGACAAATATTTTTTTGGCCTGAATAAGAAAAATAGATCCACCCGCATCAAAATACAATCAGAAACCAAGAAAAAAAGGAAGAAAAATTAATTTTTCAGATGGCTACTGTACATCTAATTTTTTATTTTTATTTATTTAATATGATATAATAAATAAAAAAGGAAAAGAATAATGTGGGCCTTGTAGTAAAAGAGATACATGTGATACCTATGAAAAATAAATTATTAATTTAAAACTTATAATTAAAAATGAGTAAAATAATTTGTTTATTTTTATCTTAATTAATAATATTTCTCTTATAAGTTTTTGAAATCTATATGAACATTTTTTTGGTATGAATAATTATAAAATACAAGCCTTCATTTTATTTTTAATATTTTATTTTCATTTACCTAACTATTAGTTAACCATTAAATTATGTGTGTTAGACTAAAATACTCCTATTTGATTTTTTTTTTTAAATTTGTTAAGGGATCCAACGTTTTCTTTCCCTTTTTTTTTATTTTTCAAATGGGTACTGTACATCTAACTTTTTATTTTTTTTTTAATTTTTATTTGTTAATTTTTTTAATGTGATATAGTAAATAAAAAAAGTAAAGAATGATGTGAGCCTTGTAGTAAGAGAAGTACATGTGGGGCAGACAAAAAATAAATTGTTAATATAAAACTTATAAAATATATGTCTCTCTTTTATTTTTAAGATTTTATTTTCATCTACCTAATTAATTGATCGTTAAATCACATTTGTTGGACTAATATATCCTTATTTAAATATAAATGTTGTCTAAAAATTATTTAAATTACCAAAAAACTAATTTTTTATTATTTAAATATATTTATTTTGTAATTTTTTAAAAAATTAAATATATAAATTGACAGAAAGAAATATTCAAAGACTCGATTTATGGACTCAATAAAAAAATAAATTAAAATAATTTAGGATAGTTAAACCAACCTAAATAATTCTAAAAGCTAAAAATCTTAATAGTCAAGCACGATTATAAAATTTTTATATGTTTAGATATTTTAAACTTGATATAAATTGAAGCTTTAATGATAATGGAGAAAATGTAAGATTTTAATAAACTTAATTTTTGTTTATATTTTTCAAATGCACAAGGAATAAAAATATATTATTTAATTATTTATATGTAAAGTTGATTATAATTTGAACACCTATGAAAAATATTGATATAGTTATATGCCTCAAGTTTGAGCAGCAAAAATTATAGGTTACAAATTAATTATATAATATTAATAAATTTATCTTCCACTGACATCTAATTCTTTTTTAATAATTATTATAATACTTGTAATGCTTCCACGTGTGATTGATAAGTGATAGTGAAATATAGATTATATTATTTGCTTGATTTAAAACCATTTTAATTATAATTTATAAATAATATTATTACATGAATTGTAGTACGACTCATTATAGTATAGATTTTATTTTCCTTAAGGTACATGAGGCAACAGATTTTGAAAAAGAACAAACTAGATCATATTTTAAATTGCAGAATATGAGAAATTTTAAAAAATAATGCTGTTTTTTAATTTGTATGAGAGTATCACGTTGCAAAATAGAAGCCATTATTATACATATCATTTTATTAAAATTTTAGTATCATACTTGCTGACTGTCGGGATGCCTTAGGAAACAAAAATTATAAAATTTAAATAAATATAAACATAAATTATATTGACTAATTTATCTCTTATTTCATTAAGTTTTTTCTGCATATACATGATTGAAATATTATTTTAGTAAACTTAATCCCTTTATTGAAAAATGTATGGTATTTTTTAAAAGTTATTTCTTTAGAGTTAGATATTAAAAAATATTAAAAAAATTTAGTATTTAAAGGTGTAATCATTATTTTTTTCCAAACATGCTTATAATGAATAAATCCTTTTATATTTATTTTAAGTGAAATACACAATTAAATAGTAAATATAGAAGGAGAATATTATTTTGAAGACAAGTAATTACTTTATTGAGGGTGAGATTCAATTAAAAATATCTTACATTTTTTAAAAAAATAAAGTATGTATTTAATTTTTTTTAAAAATTACTAAATACATTAGTTTGAATGACTAATAAATTTAAAATAAAAATAAAAATTTAAAAGAATATATTAAGAACTATCAAATAATAATTAGATGAGTTAAAATAAAAACTTAAAAATAAAAGGCATATTTATATTTTATAACTCTTAACTATTAATTTTAAGAGAGATTTGTATAGATTTTAAAAATAAAAAATATTTATAATTAGGATCAAATAAAGAAAAAATAATTTTTTTAATATTTATTTTTATTTTTATTTTTAAAAATTAAAATATTCCCATGCATGTCAAACACGGGGGATAAATCTAGTTTACAGGAAAGGACAAAACTCATATACAGTCCCTATTTTACACATCCTCTTCCTTGTAAAGCTGTAACACGGTTAAAAAACGAGGGGGAGAAAGGGACACGTGTGCATCACTTGAGAAGTGAATAATGATTCAACAATCCATATGAATTGGAGTGAGCTCTCCATCAATCCCTTTGCGTCAATTAGCAAGCCCCAGCCCGAAGAAGGTGACGGGCAAAAAAGCAACGCATTTTAAAGCATCTATATAAATTTAGGATCTTTTATCTACAATAAATGAACAGTAACATTTTTTTTTTGGATACAAGAGGGGGCTAAGCCCAAGCATAAATTAAATAGAAGAGGGATGAGATCCTAGGGACTCTCTAGAAACAAGGTCTCTTAAATAAGGTGGAGTGACAACAAGTAAAGAAGAGGAATGTAGGCCTTCTTTAGCTAAAGCATCTGCTACACAATTCTGTGTTCTCGATATATGTGTAACCTGTACCTCCCAATCAAAACTCAACATAGATCGAATTTGCAAGATAAGAAGACTGTCCTTATTGTTCTGTGAGATGTCTTTTAAATCATCAATAATAGCCTTAGCATTAGATTCTAGAATAACCTTCTTAAAGCCCATATCCCAAGCTAATTGTAGCCCTTTCCAGATTGCCCAAGCTTCAGCTTCATATGCACTGCAACTTCCAAGAAAATGTGTAAGCCCTGCTATCCAATTACCTACACGATCCCTTATGACCCCACTACAGCTAGCTCTATTGTTAGTGCTTGACATAGCACCATCAACATTAACCTTGATGTAATCAACAGGAGGGTGGATCCAAAATTTTCCATCTTGACTACATGAGACTTCCTTATCATTACTAACATCAGCATGCACAGAAAATAATTTTCAAATACTGCTAATAACCTTTGCAGGATTACTAGGCTTCGTAAAGCTAGGATTGAAAAGGAAATTATTCCTCCAAATCCAAAGCTGCCAAATGGCTACCCCCCAAATCAAATTCCAGTTCTCATGTAAATTAGTGCTAAAAGATCCATTAAGATTAATTGCAAACCAATCTTTTAAGGAAGTAGAGTAGAATTGGTTGTGATACCTAGAATTCAAGAACCTATTCCATAACTGTTTGGCGTAGTTGCAATCTCTTAAAATATGCAAAACATCCTCAGTGGTAGCATTGCACCAACCACACAGGGGAGAATGTGTGTTCCATTTACTATGCCATTGGTTTGTTAGTAGTTTCTCTTGGAAAGCAAGCCACATAAATACTTTTATCCTTTCTGTGCCTTTCTATCTCCAAATAGATCTATATAATGGATTTGTAGTTGTTCAGGGCATTTCTCAATGATGAAGTAGGCACTCTTAATGGTGAAGGACCCATTATGATTTCCTTTCCAAGCCATAATATCATGACCTGCGTTAACTTGAGGAGGCATGACCGTGATTAGTTTTTGCAAGATATTAGCAGGTAATAAATGAGATAGTTTAAGAAAATCCCAGTTGCCATACTTAGCCCATTCCGCCACTGTGCTCTCCTCCTCCTCTCTTGTGAGTGGTCTCAAACACAAATCTTTTAGTTTACCTTCTAATAACCAAGTATCACTGAAGAAGCTTATATGTAGTCCATTTCTTACCTGCCACTTTGTCCCTTTCTCAACCACATCCTTTTGTTGACATATAAACTTCCAAATCACAGAGTCACCGTTAGAAGCAGCAAGAAGATTGTTCTCATTTCTCAACATGTACTTCTGAGTAAGTACCTCCGCCCATAAACTTTTGTTCCCACTAATAAGTTGCCAAGCAAGTTTAGTTCCACAAGCACGATTGAAAGAGGCGAGTTTTTTGAAACGAGACCGCCATAGTCCTTAGGTAAAGTAATCCTCTCCCATTTCACAGGATGATAACCATGACTATTAGAACTCCTACCCCATATAAAATTTCTTTACAATCTCTCCACTTCCTTGCATATGCTATTTGGAACTTTAGCA